TGCTGTGCCTTCCTGTGATGAGGAGATTGTGAATAAAAAAGATTATATCAGTCGAATTTAAAATAAACATTTGCATTTGAATGCAAAAATAGTACAATCAAATGTTAGGAGTGCGTCAGCCATTCACACAGAACGCATATTCTGCTCATTTTTAGATGGACAAATACGACTGCTGCACTCGCGTCTCACAAAAGAGATGTAGCCATGCAAAGTTAAAACAGTTTAAACGGGAGGGGGTCATATTCTGAAAATAAAATAATTTTCTCTAACACACAATGGCCACAATTATTGGTACCCTTAGAAATTCTTATGACTAAAATATCTCCAAATTATATTTCCATAAATTTTTCAATTTTTTTTGCACACCAGGGTAACTAGGAACATGAAATTATACAGCCATGACTTTTTTATTTCACAGGAGTATAAATAGGCCTGGGCGAAAAAACGGTATCGATATTTATCGACGGTACACCTTCTTTGATAACGATATAAAAAAATGTCGATATAGTGCACGATATAGGCACGTGCTCTGAGTGACGCAGACAGCACACACAAACATGAACACATGCTGAATTGAGTGCTGTGCCTTCCTGTGATGAGGAGATTGTGAATAAAAAAGATTATATCAGTCGAATTTAAAATAAACATTTGCATTTGAATGCAAAAATAGTACAATCAAATGTTAGGAGTGCGTCAGCCATTCACACAGAACGCATATTCTGCTCATTTTTAGATGGACAAATACGACTGCTGCACTCGCGTCTCACAAAAGAGATGTAGCCATGCAAAGTTAAAACAGTTTAAACTTTTATAAAATACGTCGTGAATTTGTAGAGGTTTATTCCTTTTTCACTGCGTCTCATGTGTTTTTAAATGCAATCTGAGTGAATGGCGCTTCGGCTCTTTGAATTGAGCAATGCATAAATACATGATGCTGTTTTGTTCATAATTGTTTATGCAATTTACTAAATTATATTTGATTTATATGAGTTAAAGGGGTCATATGATGCGATTTAAATTTTTCCTTTCTCTTTGGAGTGTTACAAGCTCTTGGTGCATAAAGAAGATCAGTAAAGTTGCAAAGACTAAAGTCTCAAATCCAAAGAGATATTCTTTATAAAAGTTCAGAGTCAACCACGCCTACCTAAAACGGCTCGTTCTAACACGCCCCCCACATGTCTACCTCACGATGTGGGAAGATTCGCATAACGCTGCCCAAATGTTCACACAAAGAAAGAAGGTGTAACTTTTATTCTCGCTGTAGTATTGTTGCTGCCGCCATGTCGTGAAGGCGCTGTATTTCGTTGTGAAAGCAAAACTGATGAGCTTTGTAAAAATCGACGTGTTTCAGAAAGGCGGGGCATAGAGGAGAAACAATAATGTACAGTATGTGGAAAATAATGTGTTTTTTGAACTTTAAACCGCATAAACACATTTCATTACACCAAATACACAAAATAATGTTCTTTATAGCAGCATCATATGACCCCTTTAATGTAGACGTAATGCAAGTTTTTTTATAGACTTATTTCCTTGCATTGACAATTTAAATGTGCTGCATTATTTTGCTCATTGCGCCCTCCTGTGGCCTCAGGAGACTAGACAAACGTTTACTTAAGCCTATTTACTTACCTATTTAATCTGCATATAAAACATTAGAAATTAAATATTTTTATTGTGTGTTTGACTGTTAAAACAAATATTTGTTGTTTGTCTCAATAAATTGGGTTAACTTAAAAATACAGTGGTTAAACGTAAAAAAAAAATTCTATTGCTCTTTGTTTTAAAAAAGGTTATTAAAAATGTCAATTATCGATATCGAACGATATGGAACATTATATCGCTGATACATTTTTTAGCTATATCGCCCAGAGTCCAAATTCCCTTAATCATTCATCACAATGAGAAAAACCAAAGAATATAGTTCTGATGTGCAGCAAAAGATTGTTAAGCTTCACTAATTAGAAAGTGGCTGTAAGAAAATAGCTAAAGCATTGAAAATCACCATTTACACCATGAGGGCAATAACTAAGAATGTCCAATCAACATACATACATACATACATATATACATATATATATATATAAACATTTTTAACTTTGATATATCATGTTACCCTTGCCACTGCGTAAATAAATAAGCAATAATAAAGTTAAATGGTTGAGCTTGGCCAGAGCAGCCTTCTATCCTTTTAACAGAAATACTCCGTTAAATTATATTAATTTAACGTTACAGAGCTCAAAGGTGTTACACTTGAAAAGAGCGGTGTTAGTGCACTGATAGCAGAGAGCACAGGACATTATGACAAAGCTTTATGGACAGCAAGTGGCAAAAACCTGCAATGTACAGCATATACTGCACACCTTATGTGTGTTTAAAACAACATTATTGAAATGTACGAAACAGCTCACCATTTGATTTGAAAACAAGCCTCACTTAATCAGTGTTTACGCTAGAAGCCTCTTCCTCTGGTGCTGTGGTGTGGAGGAGGTTTACGGACAATTAACTATAGTGCGCCCTCACTCGGCTCGGAAGAAGCATTACATTCTCAGGAAAATGGCTTTTTGCAAAAATACAAAATTACAAATTATTGTATGTGTACCGAAAACCTTTGCATTCAAGTTCAACACAGACAATTAAGTCAGGGATAACACACAGTCAGCACTATCACAATAAACTCCAACATGTAAGGTAAGTCGTTTTAACATTTATTTCCTTAAAACCTGCTAAGGTTTTGTAACAAGTTACAAGCTACATAAGGACTAAAACAGCTGTCCAATTCGGTACTACTTTTTTTTGTTTTTAAATACTACTAATTCATTAGATAGATCTTATTTATTTAACACTATTTATTAGTAGCTACATTGTAAGGACTAACGTTATCCATCTAAAAAAATATATGTGCTAAGCACGTTTAGCTAACATTCCCATTAAGTCATAAAAACGTTATTTCAGAATTTTCTCTGAACATTCAAAAAGGTTTTAAATGTTTCAAAAAGGGGGATTTTCTTGGTTATATGAATGTCGAACATAACATTAAATGGAAAGTTCAATTTCATTATTTTGCAAAAAGTATAGGAATTGCTTTTGGAATGTTCTCTAAACCAGACAAACGTCCAACTAAATGTTTTTCTTCATAAATTATGTAGAAATAATGTCTTTGTGCTAGCGTTTTGAGAACGTTGTTAAAGACCAGATAACTCTGAATGAACGTTCTAGAAGAATGTTTGTTCAGAACTTTTTGAGAGACCCTAACAAGAACGTTGGTCAAAGTTTTAAATGTTCCCAGTATTAGCAGAGAAAAACAGAGAATGTTTGAGGTATGAATACGCACTCTTCAAGTAGGCTAATGTTAACTAACTTAGCTATAAACATTATTTTACTCTTAAAATCCAAAAACGCTTTTGTAAGACAAACCTATATCATGGATTGAAAATGCTAATTTTCCTCCGAGTTTTAGGGATATGAACTAAACATCTTTATGCCTTATGGTGTTTTATTTTAGTGCTGCTTAGGTTTGATTTGTTTTATACATCACAAATATTGGAATAAAGAACGGTCGTTTGATTAAGTCGTGCGCCCCCAGTGGCTGGTGAAGGTAATGCAGCATCCAGCGCTTCATCTCCGCGTCCGTCGCTCCAGCAGCAGCAGCAGCAGCAGCAGCAGATCTCATAGCGGTGGTGAACAGGCAGGGAGCAGAGCCTAGGGAAGGAGGACGTATGTCGAATCGCCAAGGTGCCTGGAAAATTGAAGGAAACGCTGCAAGGGACAGCTTTTAGATATTTCGGGGCTTGCCAATTAGGGCTCCGTTCAGGGTCGATTACATCGGTTTTTCATTCACTGTGAAATAGAGCCTGTTATTTATCCCACAAGATGGGCAATCGGGGAATGGATGACTTGATTCCTCTGGTAAACAGACTGCAGGACGCCTTCTCTGCCATCGGACAAAATGCCAACCTGGACCTTCCTCAGATCGCAGTGGTCGGCGGCCAAAGTGCTGGGAAAAGCTCGGTTTTGGAGAACTTCGTTGGGAAGTAAGTGACTGATGACAAATTGATGGGCAGCATCACTCTACATGCATCCAGTGTTTCTGTATCATTAATTTGCCTTTCTGCACCTGACCCAATCATATTCAGTAATTACTTATAATGCATGCGTACCAAAACCGATGTTTATTTCTCATGATATCGCGTTAGTTATTCATGGCTGTGAAGAGCTGCTCTGTTTTCAGGCCGGTTACGCTTATAAATCAGGTGGATTTGTTATGCATTGTCTCTTAACTGACTAAATAAAGCTGTTTTACCATGATTTACTTAATGCGGGACAAGCGGGCTGCTTGTCCTCGGTCTCTCGACATGCTGTACATTTGCTTTAGACAGCAGCAGCCTCGTGAAGAAGATTGACAGAGAATGATGCTCATGGCTGACTGTGCGTGTGTGTGTGTGTGTGTCCTTGCGAGGCCGTCATACTAGCGAGCTGCCAACCTACACCAGCATTTTTGGGCATCATGCGCGCCAGCGAGCTTTATGTATTAGGAAGAAAAAGTTTTTTTATGTGAAATATTGTGTCATATATTTTTAATTTACAAGCTAGAATACCCTAACAAGAACGTTGGTCAAAGTTTTAAATGTTCCCAGTATTAGCAGAGAAAAACAGAGAATGTTTGAGGTATGAATACGCACTCTTCAAGTAGGCTAATGTTAACTAACTTAGCTATAAACATTATTTTACTCTTAAAATCCAAAAACGCTTTTGTAAGACAAACCTATATCATGGATTGAAAATGCTAATTTTCCTCCGAGTTTTAGGGATATGAACTAAACATCTTTATGCCTTATGGTGTTTTATTTTAGTGCTGCTTAGGTTTGATTTGTTTTATACATCACAAATATTGGAATAAAGAACGGTCGTTTGATTAAGTCGTGCGCCCCCAGTGGCTGGTGAAGGTAATGCAGCATCCAGCGCTTCATCTCCGCGTCCGTCGCTCCAGCAGCAGCAGCAGCAGCAGCAGCAGATCTCATAGCGGTGGTGAACAGGCAGGGAGCAGAGCCTAGGGAAGGAGGACGTATGTCGAATCGCCAAGGTGCCTGGAAAATTGAAGGAAACGCTGCAAGGGACAGCTTTTAGATATTTCGGGGCTTGCCAATTAGGGCTCCGTTCAGGGTCGATTACATCGGTTTTTCATTCACTGTGAAATAGAGCCTGTTATTTATCCCACAAGATGGGCAATCGGGGAATGGATGACTTGATTCCTCTGGTAAACAGACTGCAGGACGCCTTCTCTGCCATCGGACAAAATGCCAACCTGGACCTTCCTCAGATCGCAGTGGTCGGCGGCCAAAGTGCTGGGAAAAGCTCGGTTTTGGAGAACTTCGTTGGGAAGTAAGTGACTGATGACAAATTGATGGGCAGCATCACTCTACATGCATCCAGTGTTTCTGTATCATTAATTTGCCTTTCTGCACCTGACCCAATCATATTCAGTAATTACTTATAATGCATGCGTACCAAAACCGATGTTTATTTCTCATGATATCGCGTTAGTTATTCATGGCTGTGAAGAGCTGCTCTGTTTTCAGGCCGGTTACGCTTATAAATCAGGTGGATTTGTTATGCATTGTCTCTTAACTGACTAAATAAAGCTGTTTTACCATGATTTACTTAATGCGGGACAAGCGGGCTGCTTGTCCTCGGTCTCTCGACGTGCTGTACATTTGCTTTAGACAGCAGCAGCCTCGTGAAGAAGATTGACAGAGAATGATGCTCATGGCTGACTGTGTGCGTGTGTGTGTGTGTGTCCTTGCGAGGCCGTCATACTAGCGAGCTGCCAACCTACACCAGCATTTTTGGGCATCATGCGCGCCAGCGAGCTTTATGTATTAGGAAGAAAAAGTTTTTTTATGTGAAATATTGTGTCATATATTTTTAATTTACAAGCTAGAATAGCAGCTAATCACCTATGCTTCAGATAATGATGTTATGCTTCCATTAGACTGTTTTCAGGGTTTTGTATATAAAAGGTATAAAGGCATTTAGAGGCTGCTGATATATAAAAAAAGATCTAAGTCAAGGGTTTAATGTTCAGTGGTTGCTTGTATCTGGTGTCAGAGGGTCATTTGTGAGCCATAGGCCTATTGTCTTCCCTGCTGTTCGTTTTCTGTTCACTCTAGTCAAAATCCTGAAGGAATGCTAGTGGAATTTTGTGAATAAGTTGAAACCAATATTATTGGGACGATTTGATCCTTAAATGATTAGGTCACCCAAAATGAAAATTCTGTCATCATTTACTCACCGTCACGTTGTTCCAAACTCGTATTTGATTGCATCTTTTGTCCATGCAATGAAAGTGAATGTTGACTGAGACTGTCATTTTGCCTTTTGTGGTCCATGGAAGGAAGTCATACAGGTTTGGGACAACATTCGGCTCAATAAATGATGGCAAAATGTGTATTGTATGTGTTATATCTGTTCATTTATTTGACTCTCTGAGACAGATCAGCTCTTGCTTAAACTAAAATTTAATTCCATTCTATTTTTTTTTATATAACTAAGCATGTTGGTGGTACACAAGTGAATTCTGCTATGGATGTGTGCACTACCATTCAAAAGTTTGAAGTAGTTAAGATTTCTAAATGTTTTTGAAAGAAGTGTCTTATGTTAGCTAAGATTACATTTATTTGATCACAAATGCATTAAAAACAGCAATACTGTGAAATATTATTAAACTGAAAATAACTGTATTCTTTTTAATTAATTTATTTCTGTAATGGTAAAGCTGAATTTTCAGTAGCCATTACTTCATTCCTCAGTGAGTTTGCTATTTTATTGCACATGTTTGATCCAATATAGGCCTATATCTGCCCCAGGTTTACTAATTAACATCCTTTATATTTTAACAGCATCATTATTTTGTGTTTGGCTCACAGCCAGTTGAGCTTTGCTTGTGTTCAGGACCAAGGACAGTTCTTTCAAAATCTGTGAAGGTGGCACTGTTTTGATTTGGTTAACGTTATATGAACCAAGTATTAATTGTAAGAGACACTGATCTTTAAATAAATAAATTATATATAGGGAGTACATGAGAAAATTGAAAATTGTACAGTAAGCAATTAATTCAGCTCCATTTAAACTTCATTAGATACTTCTAAAGTTTCCCCACTTAAAATAATTTTAAGATTAAGGTTAGAAAATCTCTCATTGACTTGGCATTGTTAGAACGTTCACATTTCATAATACGAGTGATTATGTCATTGTATGCATGTTTTCTTGGATTTATTTCATGGTGAATTGCAGAGCTGATAGAAAATAACATGTAGACGATTAAGTGTCATGACAACAACAAAGCGTCTCTGATGCTTAACACTTGCCCTCTGTGCAAATACTGTTATTTGTTTCAGGAAATTCAAATCTAATTATCTCATTAGATCTCTGTTAAGATCTCTGGTTAAGAAAACCAACCTAATATGTTTTGCTAATCTTAGCTGGCCATCAAACTCTTCAGTCTGGTGTGGTTTGATAGCTTTAGGCTCTTGCTCAGGCTAGCAGACCAGCTGAACACTTGTGGAGAGACCAGATAAGACCAGCAAAACACTTTAGGCTGGTTTAAGCTTGTATTTCCACCAGTGATGTTTGTTTTATGTGTCAAAAGGATTTGCAACACAGAGGGGTGTTTGAGTCAAAATATGCGTAGATCCCCATCATTTGCAGGTTGCTATTAAGTCTAGCTCGTAACGTTGTGACGTTCTTCACTGCCTCGTAGACCTTCATTGTTATTCAGCAGGGCCTTCACACAGTGTTATTGGTCACGCTAAACTGTGAGCTCTGTGGACACTAAAGAGTCTGTCAAGCTTGTCAGCCACAAACAGATCCATTGACTGGCAGTACAATGCTCACAGCTGTTACAAGGACAGACTTCACAATGCTGTACGAGGACAGCTGTTTGGCTTGAAATGTGATGTGTTGCTTGGCTAGATTTACAGTTTTCACAACTGCAATACTACTGTAACGAATCAGCTCATGGGAAATATGAATAATTAATCATAACTATGTAAGCTGACAGGAGTGAGTGTTTCGATCATAAGCCTGCATAAAACAGTATACAATCTCAAAGATAAAATACACAATGACAATAATATACACAATGACCTGAAGGATCATGCGTGTTCATTCAAAGAAAGGTTTTCCTATTAATTAATTAATTAATCCCTTGTGGATTTTCCTTATGGACAAGGCAGTGATTTTCTCCTCCTAAATTCCAGGAGGTCGTAAATGTATCTGGTGTCAGGGTTGCCATGGTAACCAGGGGGGGCCTGGTGGCAGACATCCTGGCATCCAGTTTATTGGGTGAGGGGACTGTGACGATTTGTTAATCTAATGAATAATTGATTTGTTAAATCTAATGAAAAATGGTGTGTCTGATTGATCCAGACGCTACACTACTGTATATGTGGCCCTTAAAGGGACCGTTCATCGGAAAATCATTTGATTGATGACAGAATTGTCATTTAATATTTAGTTAATTGTCATTTACCTTCTAAATTATTTTTTGGAAGATATTTTGAAGGTTTAGACGCAACATGAGGATTGGTAAATGATTTAAAGCCATAGTTCTCCCAAAAATGAAACTTCTGTCATCATGTAGACACCATCAAGTTGTTTTCAAGAGTTCTTTCTTCTATTAAACATAGAAGATATTTGGAAGAATGTGGGGGTAACCAGTCAATTGGTCTCCACACTAACTTCCATAGTAAGGAAAAAAAAATTCTATGGAAGTTGATGGGGACCAGAAACTACACTCTTAAAAATAAAGGTGCCTCAAAAGGTTCTTCACAGCGATCCCATAGAACAACCATTTTTGGTTCCACAAAGAACTATTCAGTCAAAGGTTCTTTAAAGAACCATCTCTTTCTTACCTTTTTATAATTTGAAGAACCTTCTTTCGACACAAAGAACCTTTTGTGAAACAGAAAGGTTCTTCAGATGTTAAAGGTTCTTTATGAAACCATTTAGACAAAAAGGTTCTTCTATGGCATCGTGAAGCACCTTTATTTTAAAGAGTGAATTTGGTTTCCAACATTCTTTAAAATATCTTCTTTTGTGTTCAGTAGAAGATAGAAAATCTTTTTTGGAAGAGGTTTGGAAAAAACGGATGTCATTTTGATGAAAAAGGATGAGTATATGATGACAGAATTTTCATTTCTGAGGAAAGAAAGAAAATGGCCTTATTTTTATTTATTTATTTAGGTTTAGTTTTGTTTTGGAACTCTATGGACAAAAACAGTTAAAACATTCTTTAAAATATCTTAGCTTATGTTTCTTTCTTGCTTGATTAATTTCCACGTAGATAAAACTGTTCTTTGGACTTATGTATGAGTTGAACGAACATGAGCTCATTCACACTGACACTTATGGTGAAATTTATCAGACAGATGTCATTATGAATGAGACATAGCCTTTAAAACGGAGGCACATGCTGATGTGGTCTAGCATGATGACGTGACAATTAATTATGTGATGGTGCAGTCCGGCGGAAAGCAGCAGGATATCACAGCTGCTGTATGAATGTCATTAAACTGTCTGCAAGAGCAGATAAGACACTGTGTTTATGTGTGTAAATAAATGGGAAGTGCATCATTAAGCTTGTCATGGGTGCTTGTGAAAGTTTGTTTTTTATGCTGTTTTGTTTTTAAATAGAGCTCAGCAGTGGCCATCTTTATTCTTTTTTGCAGCAGTCATGGTTCCTAAAATATTTATAATTTTTTTTCTATTCACTTTCTCAATAGAGATTTAAATAAATAATTATATAAATATATAAAGAGTTCTGTTCCTTGAAAAATATTATCAACCCCCAAACTCTGCCAATGGCAGTTCTTTCCTATTCTGGAAGCATGAATCCGTATTCAGAAAACAATTGCTAATGGTTGCCTGTTACATTACAGTACATAAAATATCACTTACCACATAAACAGAGTAAGGAGAGATGACGATGGCGAATGATTTGCAGATCCTCAGCACCACTGACAAAAGTCTAATCTTGTAAAATGTGTAGTAAGTACTTCCGCTCCATAGTATAAACAGAGTACACTCTTAAAAATAAAGGTGCTTCACGATGCCATAGAATAATCTTTTTGTCTAAATGGTTCCATAAAGAACCTTTAACATCTGAAGAACCTTTCTGTTTCTCAAAAGGTTCTTTATGGTGAAAGAAGGTTCTTAAGATTATAAAAAGGTAAGAAAGAGATGGTTCTTTAAAGAACCTTTGACTGAATGGTTCTTTGTGGAACCAAAAATGGTTCTTCTATGGCATCGCGGTGAAGAACCTTTTGTCAAGGTTTGGGTAGAGGGGTGAGGCGAGGACTCAATAGTGCAGAGTAATGGGCTTT